ACACAATAGCTAAGCTGCATGAATGCACATGCATTGCACATTGCAACTCAACTCTGACTCCTAGAACAATACTGTAAGATATATAAATAAATGAATGACCAGAGATGGGTTTCCAACTGTATTGTTAAAACTCCAGAACTACCAATTATGTTACCATGGAAGGTAGAAGATGGAGATTTAACTAGTAGTCTTAATTCTTGTTTGATCATTCACTTTTTAATGTATGCACACATGATAGGAATGATAGAATTATAGGTTTCTGGTTTTAAAATATAACAAGAGAAAGAAACTCAACATGATGCTATTGACTTCTTTGATATAGATGTTGATTATTTAAAAACAAAAACCAATGAACAATCCCCCACAAACCAAACTAAGTCAAAGCAAAGCAAATCCAGACAAGCAGTTTGGATGGGGGGAACTAGGTCAGAGCAGTGACGGTAAAAGCCAGCTGTAACTGTTTTCCTTCATCATGTACCTAATCCAAATTGGAACCCTCCTCATCACTTATCTGCAATGAAGAAATTCTCCCACTGGTGCCAGATAGCTACCTTCAAGAGAGTTTCTCCATTGCAGGCAGGGGCCCTGATTCCAAAACAGACCATTGCAAAAACACATAGGGGGTTTTTGTTTTGTTTTAGTCCTTCCCTTAAAACACAATCCAAATCCAACTCCTAACCACATTTAATAATGTGAGCAGCAACACTTCCAGGTTGGCACCAAGAGGAGAAAGGTATAGGGGAATGTGTTCATTCGTCAAACATTTGTTGTTCATTTGTTTCTGGTATATACACAATTAGCTATTTGAACAAAACATGATAGTAGAAACATACTTACGTATGTCAATTCATATTATTATATACTGAGTTTTTGTTGTTATATGCCTTCAAGTCATCTCCAACTTATGAAAACCCTATGGATGAATGCCCTCCAAAATGTCTTGTCCTTGACAGTCCTGCTCAGCTCATAGACCCAAGGCTGGGTCTTCTTCATGGATATGATCCATCTCATATTTGAATAGAGCTTTTGGAGCTCTTAATATAACCTTAACTCAATATGTTTAAAAGAACATGCCTTCTTCAGGGACACATCAATACTCCACGTCTTCTCTTCAAGGGCCAGAGTAACATTGGGTTACAAAACGTACTCAAGAACCATGCCTGAACTTCCACTGAAGAAGATGCATACTTTGAAACACATTGGGTGAAATATGCCTTGTTTGTTCACCTTTGAATGTGACATTTCACTTTCCCCCTGTTATTAGTGTCTTCTCACTTTCATTTTCTCAAGGTCAAATATGGATAGTGAATTATATAGTAATAGCCACATGCAGTTATTCATTTGTATATTTGTAGGACTAATGTATGTAGGATATCATGGATTAGCATGCAGGCCTTGACCCAGCATCCTCTTCTGCCAGTACGTAAGCAGACCTTTATGCGTTGAATGCAAAGGCCTGGAAAGGTTCTGTAATTGTACTGATTACACAAACCCTTCCTTATCAGAGCATTAAATCCATAACTGCAGTCATCAGGATGCATTTACAGGAGTGTCTTCAGATCTTGTACTCAAGGCACAAAAGTCTAACTGAAACCTTGGTGCCTGTGGACACTGTGAGCAGGGCCATGTGTGTGTCCATGACGCCTTTCCACACATTTGCTCTACTTGCACACAGTAAATACCTGTTTGATGCTGATGTCTGTTTCATAATTTGTATTTAAAGTATACATATTTCTGGGGCCAATAGACATTTGACCATCTGCAAATTCTCCATGTTCTTGTGACAATGTGAGCATAAAACATTGATTTATTATTATACATAGACATTTCAGGCTTGTGCTCCCTCTCTCTTCCTCTCTGTCTTCCTTTCTCACATCCTCCTTACAAATCTTCCTCATTAAAAATATCCTCAGCTGTAAATATGAAGGATTCAAGACATGTAACCTTGCGGGGGGGGGGGGGGGGGAAATGGCTAGATGCCCAAATCAGCACCAAAAAAGGCATTTAGCCAAAGGGTTTGTCTACATCATTTTGTTTCTTTAGCTTTACATCAATTATCTGATGTTTCTATTAGTTAAACTATCTTTTTTTGCTTGAATTCCTCTAAACAGCCCTGGTCAACTTTACTAACCTAAATTTGTAAACTAAATTAACACAGACAGGCAAAGAAGATTTCCCACATTGCGTGATATGCTATTAAATGTCATTGAGCAGTGGGGTGTGCATAGCGACCTTTCCTCTAAACAGCATGCATTATAAACATGATATTATGTGAATGAAGATACATCCTGATGTGATGGAACTAACATTTGTAAAGTTATGTCATACCGAAATAGAAAGGAGGTTGTGACAGCATAGTTCACATAATAAATGCAGAAGGATAAAATCTACCACAGTTTTACACATGTACAGCCTTTTTGTCAGTGGAAAGAATAGGTTTCAAAGGGATGTATTTATTTCTCTGGGAATTTGAAACAGATTCCTCAAGTCTCAATGCGAGCAGGTTGAAAAGGCTTGCTGAAGCTGCTTCCTGTCCGGTACATGTGAACAGCATTACCATTACCTAAGGCTCTGGAACGAACCCTAGAAGAAGTGCACAAATGCGATGCACATACCCTTAATGTCTGCAGAACTGCAAAAGGCATCTCTTCAATCGTATTTGGGAGGATAAACATAATACGTTTTCATTTTCCATGATGCCTTATTCTGTTGTTTTGGCTTTCTGAATTTTTTAAAGTGTTCAGATCTGCTGCTTTTGATGGTGTTTGTCTGAGAGCCAAACTCGATAAAATGGGACCAGCTTGCAGTGGGATGTTTTTGCTATGACTTTTATCTGAACTCACCTCCTTCTACCCCACCCCAGGATATCAGATCATGGAATACCCACCCTCCCATTTAGCATCTCCCTTAATAAGTACTGTGAACTAAAGTCAAGGCTGTGAATTTGTTATACTTTTATCTCACCAGACTTCCGTGGAGATCAAAATGCATATGTGGGTTCCCCAGGCAGTGGGATGCAGATATGTAGTGAATAATAGGCTGTGATGGTTTCATGTTCTTGGGGTCACATGACTGAGGATAAATAAATGGTCTATTCACTGGGTAGAGTCTGTTACTCAAAGTGTTTTCTCAAAGTGGACTTGGCTTTGGTGAGCATTCGCAAGCCAATTTATTCTATCTCTTTCCCAACAATGTTGTCTACCTCTGGGGCTTACTGCTAGAAATGGAAACATGTTGCTACTTTAATTAAAAGCCCAAAGGAAACTGACCTGATCCACACTACCTGGACTAATGTGCAAATAGCGGTTATCCTCTGGATTTTGTACGCCTCCAAATTTTGCAATGAAGTGATCATGTCATTTTTTTTTAAATGTATCTTTCAGGATAAATGTGTTTAGAAAGATATATTTTCAAATGATATACATTCAAATGCATATTTAAACATGAATTTCATTTAGATGTAGATTAAAAACATGAATGCAAAAATGGGATAGAACAGACTTACTCATTAATGTTGATGTAAACTGGATATTGATTATTTATTTATTTATTTTAAACTTTTCTACTCCATGCTATACATAAAAGTCTCAGGTCAGTCCAACAACAAAGGCTCAGTATAATATTTATGATAAAAGGCAACTAAAATAAAAATTAAGTCTTAAAATAATGGGAAAATAAAAGGGTTTTTACCTGGCTGAAAAGAATAAAGTGTTGGGGCCAGGTGCACCTTTCTGGGGAGCATGTTCTACAGCTGGGCCACCACTGCAGAGAAGGTAGTCACTCTCTTAATTTCTTTCATAGAGGGTTTCTGAAGAAGGACCCCCAATCCAGGTCTTAAGTGGCAGGCAGGCACATAGAGAAGGAGATGCTCCTTCAGATAACCAGGTTTTAACCCACCACCTTAAATTGGGCCCGGACTTCAATTGGTAGCCAGTGTAGATGGTAAAGGACAGGGCGTTATGTGTGCATGTTTGCCAGACCCTGTGAACATCCTGGCTGCACTGTTTTAGACCACTGAAGTATCTGGACCATCTCCAAAGGCAGCCCCATGTAGAGTGTGTTACGATAGTCCAGCCAAGAGGTTACCAGAGCATGGGTCACGATTGTTAGGCTCTGCTTATCCAGGTAAGGACACACTTGATGAACCAACTAAAGCTGAGGAAAGCACTCCTTGCCACCACAGTCACCTGGAGCTCCAGGGATATCTCTGGGTTGAGGAGCACTCCCAAAGTGCAAACCCTGTCCTTTAGGGGAGTGCAACCCCGTCCAGGACAGGGCAAAGATCACTTAACTGGAAAGCTGAACCACCTACCAACAGAACCTCCATCTTGTTAGTTAAGTTAGTTAGTTAGTTAGTTAATTCATCCATCCATCCATCATCCATCCATTCATTCATTCATTCATTCATTCATTCATTCATCTGTCTCAGTTTCTGAATCAAAAATTGTGATATTGCTATTTTAGAACACAGTTTTCCTATTACCCTGAAAAGAAATAAGATACAATGAAGGATCATATGCCAGGAGCAGATAAAATAAATATTTTTATATTTTTAGGATCTTTCCTGTGATTGTAATTGGCTAGCCTGGCAATACTGAAAATAAACATGTTTTGTGATATATTTTCTTTCTTTTCAAGCCAAACCACAAAGGCCTGTTGATCAAAAAGCAAAATGTTGCTGTAATAGTCACTGATTTTCATGTGAGGGATAAGTTTCACTGAGGGATTCACTGAGGGATAAGTTTCAGCCTTGGATATGTTATGGCATTAGTTTTGTAAGGTTCAGCTAAATGCCGTTAAACAATATTTGTCAATATGATAAGACGATAAGAAGAGCTGTGCCCTATTAAAGCAAAGAACAGTCTAGTCCAGAATTCTAGTCCTGCAGTGGCCAACAGCATGCATATGGGGAAGCCACAACGAGGGCATGAATACTCCAGTGCCTTCCCATTGCCACCAAATGGAAGAATACTACCTCTAATACCTGGGCTAATGCTATTGTGTTGCGTGAAAGGAAAGATTAGTACTTCCCTTGATAAGAATGGAAGAAGTCCCGGGGTCCGTGTGACCTGCATAGGGCTAAGGAACTGCCATGTACTTTGTGGCACCTAACCAGCTTTCATAGAACAAGGGCAGTGGGCTGGTTAAAGTGTTGCAAAGTGGACCTGGTTCCAGCCACCACTCAGCCTTGAACCTCACTGGGTCACTTTGGCCAGTAGCTCACTCTCCACATAACCTTCCTTACAGGATTGTTGTTGAAATGGGGCTATGTAAGCTCAGAAGAGGGAAAAAAGAGTAAAATATAAATGTAATAATACCAATACAGATGCTAATAAAAACTACTGCTAATAGTACTGATGCTGTAAATATAGCCTGCATCACTATAAGCTATTAAGCCCCTGAATTTGTTTAATACCCATTAAAGTTGGTGCAAGTTGGTGACCATCAATACATCTTATGGTAGTCAAATCTGGTGTCCTTTTACATGTCCTTAATTGCCCACTACTTTGGATGAATGAAAATTAATTTCAGTTCATAAATAGCCAACTTTGTCTACTCATAATTCTGAAAATTAATGGGAGTGTTACTTAGAGCCAAAACCAGCTTTATTCTAGTGCACAATAGAATAAAGGGAGATGAAAGAGGATGTTCAGCCCAAAGCAGTGTCTCGAAAGTTGCATCCCGGTACATGCGTTTTATACCCTAGGTAAGCAATTTGGTCACCTAGTACACTTAGTATTACACCTCTAATGCATCAATACATCAATGTAGCCACACTCCCACTGCTGTCAGCTTCAAAGAGTCTTTTCTTTTGTCAAGGGCCAGACATTTACCATGTCCATTTCTTATTTGCTTCAGGTTCACACAAACTTGCCATGTTCTTACTCCCTGCAGATTTGCAACTTTCAAGATGGCTAGAACCAGTTTTTACTGTCCCTTTGATTACTGTATTGGAGGTCAGGGTAGCTTGTTAGCTGTGGATTACACAAAGTTCATTTTGTTCTTATTCACCCTGCCTTCTGGGACAGTATAACTGTGGTGTTTTTACTATGTGGCCTTCCTCTGGCCAATTACTTTTGGGGTGTTTTGGGGTGCTGCAATTGGCAACACTAGCTTTGCTTATATAAGGGGCTATGTTACCCCAGGCAAGGGAAATACTGCATATGAAAGGCTTTTATTTGACTGAATGTTTCCTCTAGAGGTATGAATTAAGAATGGATCTCAGGTTTAGTGGCTAGTACAAATAATATAAGACATAATCTTTCCTCCAGTAACTGCTTACAATCAAATCTGGCCTATTGACCTTCAATCAGCATTACAATAATTTGGCAATCTAAGTTCATGCTTTTCTTCCATGGATTTTAGTTCATTTTGTAGAAAGTTTTAGCTAACTCTTGGTTCTGAAAAGAGAGCAAGATGACTTGTAGTTAATTTCCTTTTGTGGCTCAAAATGTGCCCTTTATTTGGATGTCAAAAGCACCCCACAGTGCAAATTTTGGGACAAATTTTGGGACATTTTGTATCCCAGGCATGTTCAGGTTAATAGAAAGAAAACTGTAAGGGACAGGAGGCTTAAATTTGGGATGAGTGAGCATAAGCAAGGACTCTGGGAACACACAGCTCCGCCCTCCATCCCGACATGTACTGCAATACAGTCTCATATTCGTTAGATTCTGTTTTTCATTCTCATTCATGTTTTATAATTTTTAAAATGGCATCTTGTGCCTGCAACTTGAGTAGAATTCCCTGGTAATGCTACTTGGACAGAAGAGCCTGTTGTGATATCAGGGGTTTCAGGAACATTTGAAACACATACACTTAGTACACACACACATGAAGGAAAAAGAAACCTATTGATGAATTGCAGGACAGAGAGGGGCAGGGCAGTGGATTTCTTAAATTTTGCCTCCTTACTCATTGGGAAAAAAGGTCTGATCATTTACCAGTGGAGAGAGCAGGTGTGTTATGTCCAGCACAGTGTTTCACAGCCCTCATTAAGAGGACTTAGCCAGCAGTATCACTTCCTTTTCTTTTACACTCCACTGTGTGAACTTCTCCTTTGATAAAGGAGAAACAGTAACTCTTTTTCTTAATCATTTCACCTAGACAAGCATGGTCAGAGGTCAATTCCCCTCCCCCCATCCCACCTTTATGTTCAATCTGTTCCTTTTATTTCAAGGATAATGTGGTATATCATTTGTGGCTTGTGAGGGAACGAGGAAAGATGTTCTCAAGGAAATAGATTATTTAGCTGCAGAATTGCTAGTGACAAGAAGGTCTATTATGAGCCTCTAGTTTTGGTACATATATAAGCGAGTGCTTCTGGGGAAAGGTACCACATAACTCCAGAAAAACATCTTTGCAAGCATAGTGCTTTTAAATTGTCACGCCAGCTCGAAAGAGCAGTGCTGTGCAGCAGAAGTGGTTTTAATTCTAGATTGGAAGGCACATCCTTTTTGGCCCCAGGCATCGCATCACATTATCAGGCAGAGAGTTGAAGGGGAAATACATGTACATGCATTTATGACCCCATGGGTCATAAATGCACCCTTGCATACAAATGCAATATGGTCACATCCACCAAAGTGTGTGCATGTACACATGTACAGACATAGAGACTGTCTTCACACAACATGACAAGCAACCATGTGTGATTTTCATTGTTCACACTTTTTATCATGATCTATCTGACAGACCATCAAGCATCTTCCCTATGCAGTCCTCTCACTGTTGGGATGTATCCCATCAGCCATTGCACCTGAAATTCAACCCCAAGGTGCAGCACTTCCTGCCTGTGTCACCTGCCTCCTTTTCTTTGATCCACAAACAGAGGCTGGATGACTGGATGGCTGGAGCAACCCCTGCAGTTGCTACACTTTCTAAAATACTCTGTGGCACTTGCATACCAGGACCATGGAAACTTAGACCCTGGGTTCATAACAAGCCATGTGGGAACAGAGAAACCATATAACAAACCATTATTTCTTATAATGGTTTCTAATTACCAAACTTAACATGGCAAAATCCCCTGACTGACTGCAGACAACACAACCAGCTAACAATGATAAAAAACCACCATGGCGTATTGTGTTGTCAGAGCCCCCTAGTTCTCACTAACACTGTTTCTCTGTCACTCACTCACCCTCTCACTCTCTGTCTCTCTTGCACACCTTAAACTCCCCTCTAAGCTCTAGAAATCACTGGGGGCCGGTCACCTGTTGTGCTGTCCAGCAAGTTTGCTATTTCCACAGTGCTACTAGTGGGCCACTCTGGAAACAGCCATGGGCTGAATGTGACCCATGGTCCATGGGTTGTTCTCTGCTGTCCTAGATTAAAATAATGGCAAGAAAGTAACTCCTCAGGCAGGTAAGACAATAAACAGTCATAAAAATGTGCAAATTATTGTTGAAAATGAGACTGGAATAAAAATTGCTATTTCCAGAAAATAGCAGTATCAAGTAAATGATTGCCTTGCTTGTTGTCATGACTTGCAATTCTTCCCTTTGGACATGCAAAGCCACCAACATTTCTAACGAAATGTACTTTATTGACCAAAGTGTTTTCCAGAAGCACAAACACCCAGAATGAATCTCTGCGCATGCACCGAGAGGTTCGTTGAACCCAGTCTAGTATTCACTTCCAAGCACTTTCCTTATGATCATACCTGGGTCCCATGCCTTTGGGTGGGATCTTCTGAAAAGCATATCTCCTTTCTGTATGGCAATCCAGAAAGGAGAGATGACATTGGGTCACCCTCCTCTGCTGATGCCACGTCATGGGGCTGAGAAACTCCCCTGTCCCAAGCCTCTTCCCACTAACTGAACCTCTTGGTTCTTCTCAGAGGCTGCCTGCCCATCCTTCCTTTCCTCTTCTCTCATCTCACCATCTGGAACTGGCCCACATTCCAAGGTCCTCTCCTGCTCCTGCTGCTTCTCCTCCAGCGAGACGGCCTTGAAAATGTGTGCCAAAAACAACTATCTTTTTTTACTCCTGACACCTGTTATTGCACCTTTCAGGATCCTCATACTCTTTCCCCAGTTTTTTTGGGCTGAGTTTGTTTTCCCTCAGGATCTGCTGCATCCTTTGATTTTATTCAAAAGCAGGTTCAAGGAATCTAAACTCACTATAGGATATTTACTGAATAACTTTTGAAAAGCTTGCCACAGCCTATTAAAGCTTCAATTGATCATGAGGTGGGCACAGAGGGAAAACAAGACTGCATTATGGGAGGCAGCAGGAAATAATAGGGACTTGGTGGATCTCACTTGGCTTAGGATGCCATTTCTGACCCTGCCACTGATGCTCGCAAAAGAACATGTTGGCACATCCACCAAAACTGGTGCCGCAGGAAACATTCAGGAGTCATTACAAAAATGCTGATTGCTGAAATGATAAAATTCTCCAGAGATAAAACAGCAACAGCAGAGAAGTTATGGATCAAGTTCCCAGTAAGTTGATGACACTAGAACACACCCGCAAAGGAAAGTTTTTGGATTCTTCAGTTAGAAGAGGATGAGGGAACTGCAATGCAATGAGATTTTCACAAGATGTAGCCACCTAAGCATGTCTGAATGGGAGGCAACCCGAGTCCTCTTTACCCCATGTAATGCCAAACAGTCTGTGCTTCTCTCATTTTTACTCTACCTGAGTCCCAGGGCTGATCTGGATTAAGACTATAGCACGGGAAGGGTCATAGCCCTCTTCTCCCACATTCCCTCTGTGCCCCGATGCATCTTTGGAAGCATGCACCCACACAAACTCTTCCCCACCATACACCAGAGTGTAAATGTTGCAAGAAAAGAGTCTTAACTGCACAGACATTCTATCCTGCTTTGCAACAGGAACCTGGAAAAAGTAGTTGGAACTACTGAAGTGTGTTGCTTAAGCAGAAACTCTCTTCCCTCCATTGTGGCTTTGCAAAAGCAGACAGGGATTATTATATAAGGAAGAGAGTGCTTTCAATTGCACTTTTTTTCTTGCAGAATGCCTCATGATTATGATGATGATACCAATATATGTGCGTGGGGGTGTTTGTTTTCCCCAGAATATAAGCTTATTCCCTAAAGAGCTCACAATATTTCAATCAGTTGGGAAGGGATAATGGACAAGGAGCAGGCATTGAC